CACGCACACAACCCATAGGAATAAAATATACCTACCCTTTTCATTTAATAACAGATATCTATATTATCATAAAGTTTCAATATTTAATTTAATTTTCTTTTCCACCAAAGAACTTGTGAGAAATCTATGGAGAATTTTCAAATTGAAACTAATTTCGATTGTTTAATTAAAAGCTTTTCTCTTTTTTAAGTAAATTTCAAGAAAAGATTCGCGTGATAGCTCCTACCATTTTTTTATACTTTACGACACAAAACACCGAATAAAAAATTATATAACGAAAAATATAGTTACTACCTATTATTGTTGTAATACAATAAAATTCTTGAGTTACTTTTACATATGAGTAAACTACAGGAAGTACATAAATATTGCTGCCCTACAATTTTGTGTAATCATTACCCATTAGAGCAAAACTGAAAACAAATACTACAATAGAGATATAGTAGGTAGGTAGTAGTTCATTTTAACTGCAAACCATATTCAATAGCAATTTAGAAGTATCCAGTATACTTGTCTAGTTTACAGGTACATAATTCATATATCAAAATTAAAGGTATCGGCATTCTAATTCATTAAATAAGAAAGCCACACGGGTTCAAGCGGGCAAAAATGATGCACGTATTTTCATGAAAATTTTTCAGAATCAAACATAAGGATCTACTGTTACATGCAGTCATCAAGGCAAGGCATCATCTCTTAAAAACTACGACGTGGTATAGTATAGAGAAATTCGTATAAATATATTCGACCATCCTTTTATTTAAATCATAAAACAATATAGAACAGCATTCCAGTTTTTACAGCATCCCTGTATTTAGTATTAGAGTATTACACTTTCTAGGGTATTCTTAGAGAAACAATACCTTTACATGTATATTGGCAGAGAATAAGCAAACAGAATTCCGAATTTGAAGGAGTAAATAATAAAACGTTCCTAGTTAGCTTTGCTCTTCAAATCTCCTTTGTAAGTAAATATTTATTCCCCGTTCACAAAACTAACGTACAATATAGAAAGAACAAGTCAAAGTGGATTTGTTATTAGGCACTACAAGCACACAACCAAATTTTCCTTTTTAAATTTTCCAACTAATTAATAACCATCTGCTTTTCTTCAAATACGAAAAATAATTTAGTCAAATTACGAAATATAAATCAAACACTTGGTAACCTATTTTGTAGTCAATGCTAAGTCTAAAAAGGAATCCTTACTAAGCAAAGGTATCTAGATCATTTCACGTAACAAATGCTTTTTACATTGGACAGCGCGGTAGAACCATAAAAACTCGTATTAATGTATTTATACGATACTTTTACAAAAGACACTAGCACAGGGTTCGCAAATCATTATACTCCAACAACCATAACTAAAGGAGGAGGTAAAAATATTATATCGAAATAATAAAAATTAAAATGTTAATTTTTATGAGTCTTAATAGCATCTATTATCGATGCAGTTGTCGAATTTTAATTTGTATATTTTGTAATTTGAATAATCGTGTCCTTCCACAACCATTACATAATTAAAACTAATTTTTAATGAACATTTCGAAGAATTAACAATTTTTATGTTCTCATAATAAGAATTCATAAAAACTTTTCGTCGTTTTTATTTTGATATTAGTTGCGAAAACGACAAACATAAAGAAATAAAAAACACTTTTTTTCAGTGTCCATATACTGAAGAAGATATATCTCTTAACGATGGAAATACAGTAATTATAAATACTTTACATTCGAAATTATGGAGAATTCTTCTCTCAAATCCAGAATATTCACATCAAGATTCAAATGAGAACGTACTATGTGATTTGGATCCTCAATTCGGACAATTTGGAATATACAGATTAGCACTCAGTAATAACTCTTGTCAAGTTGAAACATTAAAAGAGCCGGTCAACATATACTCTCGTGAGTAGTATATTTGGCAATGGACCATTAGATATTAATAAATCATAGTTTTGTAGCAATAATATCTGTCATACTATTATACTGCTTGCTATACCTGATTACATACAGTTTTATAAAAGTTTATCAAGTTTGGTTCAAGACTCCGAGAAAACAAGAAGAAAAACATCAATTTCGAATACAATCAATAGATACGTTTAGGGGGTAAGTAACAAGAGTGTATGTTTTTGTAAAGCACTAATACTTTATTTTTAATCATATTAAATTCCCTTAATTTTCCCCAACGTTTTCCTTATTGAAACAGAAAAGTAGTATCAAAGTATCAAAAAAAAAAACGTAATTTTTAAGATAATAAAACAATTTTCCAAGTCAGTCGATAACCTGTATTAGTTTGGCGTTCAATAGTGTTTTATAATAATATAATATTTTTTTATACAGAATCAGTATCGTTGTTATGATTTTTGCAAATTACGGCTGTGGGGGATACGCAATATTAGACCATGCAATATGGAATGGTTTACACCTCGCTGACTTGGTCTTTCCTTGGTTTATATGGATTATGGGTTTCTGCATACCATTATCAGTAAAGTCAGCCATATCCAAACGAATTTCAAAAAAGGACATGATAAAAAATATTGCAAGGGTAAAAGAATTACTTTGTTGTTGTAAGATTACTACTTGAACTGGTATCGAAAAAAAAAAACAATTTAAACTAACTAAAATAAATCAATTACATAATGAATTAATTTATTTTTGGTAATATAATTTTCTCAATTTATTTATTAATTTTTGAAAGTACCAACATTTAATTTTAGAGATCCTGCGTCCTGTTTTGTTTGGGGATCATATTGCAATCACCGATTAATTTAAGTACAGTTAGAGTCCTAGGGATTTTACAAAGATTTGGGGTATGCTATTTCGTGGTAACAACTGCTTTTACACTGTTAATTACTGATGACAATGATAGTAACAAGGTGAGGTTTTCAATGATTTTAACAATTGACGAACGACAAATAGAAACTTAATGAAATTCTTCGAAAATAATAAGAAATACCTACTTAATTTACTTAAAAATTAATTTTCTTTCAAATATAATAAATTTTAGGGAAAACTGGCTCCCGTGAAAGATATACTGTTGATGAAAAACGTTTGGATTGTAGGAATAATAAGTGTAATCGTCCATTTGTTATTTACTTTTCTATTATCGGCTCCAGGATGTCCAAAGTAAGTATTTACTCTTTTATATTATATTTTATTCAGTAGTACTTAGGTCCATATAACAAGTAACTGCATTGATTAATAACAACACCTTAAAATGTGCATAGCTATTAATAAAAAGCGACATAAACATTTAACAAGTATTGGTAAACTCAATTCATCATTATCAAATACCGTGTTCTTAAACAAATGCTAGAAAGTTGCATTGTATGGTGCAATAAACTGGATTTCACCAGTTAGAGATAACACAAGTTGAAATATTCGACAAAAAAGGCGAAGTCGTCAATAACAAGCAAAAAACCGCATAAACATCTCGATTTGCTTCGAATGTTGGTGGCTATTGTACGATCATAGAACATATTAACGAATAAAAGGAATAGAAACTATTTGTCCGCTTAATAACTTTCATCAAATTACTTACTGGAAAACAAAAACGCAAGGAACAAATTGCATTAACTAGGAAATTTAAACAATACCAAGAAGGATTAATACGTTTTTCCTTAATACCTAAATGACAACATTTTATTTACATATAATTCATACAATATAGTCAAAAAAGACCATTTAAGAATAATATTTAAACAAATAAATGCAATGCAAGAAATAAAAAAGTCTTACCTTGATCTAAGGTAGCGTTTGCTGTCGACTCTTTGTAATCCATCATTTTCCACTGCACTAATAAGTCTTTTACGATCGAATTCGGCGAAAATATAACGACAAAGATACACACTTGTAATTAATAATTAATTAAAAACATATCTTCAACAATTACGATAGTTAAATCACTTATTAAAACATACAAACGCTAGCGAAATGAATAACACGTCCGAGTACTGACGCGACACCGAACCGTAAGGTATATTGCGCAAGTTCGAGCTTGCAAGTTGTTTCAAAAGCCTACTTAGTTATAAGTGTTACTGAAATATATGACGATCCGTTCTAAGAATCGGAAATGTACTTTGATTAAAGTTTCGTTCATTAATTGACAATTATAATATTAAGAAATCAAGAATATGTATATNTTAAAAACTGCATCATTTCTTAATACTTAATAGAATTATTCCTTCTTATCACCCTCAAATTTAAGTACTAACTTATTACCAATTGTTAATAGTTGCACTATAATTTTCATCGGTTAATTTAATTGATAAATGTTTAGATGATGGGACCTTCGGTCGTAGAAGGTGGGAGATGACCTTGTAGAACACTTAACCGGTTTTTATATGTTTAAGTGGAGACGTGGGGGCGCAGGGAGTGGAGATGGACATTGGAAATAGTAATTAGATGGACCGTAGGTCGAAGGGGAAGACCGTCCCTAATTAGAAACACATTTTTAGTGTCGCAAATTAAACTGTACACCCTTCTTCCATTATTTCCTTCCCTTATCTGCAATTACCATTTCCAATGTGCACCTCCATCTTCTCACTTGCTTAGTGATTCCAACTGCATTCCTCATCCACCTCCTTTTCCCCCCTCCAACCGAAGGTCTCATCATCTACCTTTTAATTTTAATAAATACTAAATTTATTAACAATTTATCCATAACCGTTTTTAATTTTTGTCTTTTATTTTTTGAGATTGCAGTGATGCAAACCAAAATTATGAATTACAAGAAATATCATGTACCAAAACACATTCTGATGCAACAACAGCTTATTCTCATCAGGAATTTTAAGTGTAATCGTATATTGTTAAACTGGGAAAAGTTTGATAACGATATTTCGAAGATTAAAGTATAAATACATAATAGTAAATAGGCAGGTAAATTTGTTTAAAGATGTATAAAATTGAAGGGACGTTATCGGTTCTTTACTTCCATATTACATGTTGTAATAGGGGCACAAGCCGGGGTAACTTTACAAACGTTTAAGGATCATACTGAACGCCTTAAACGGTGGTTTTCATGGGGTGCAATTTTAGCATTTATTGGAGGAGGTCTCTGTGGATTCAGCAAAGAAGGAGGCTTAATTCCGATCAATAAACAGCTCTGGTAAAGGATATTTATAAAATAAATGAAAATATTAATTATGGAAACATTTTAGGTCAACGTCCTTTGTTTTTGTAACTTGTGGTTCATCTTTCCTTCTGCTTTGTACTTTGTACTTTCTAATAGACGTAAAAAAAGTATGGAATGGGAAACCGTTTTCCTTTTGTGGCATGAACGCAATATTATTGTACGTGGGACATAATCTAAGTTACAGTATTTTTCCGATACGATGGATACCACCAGGAGGACTTAACAATTATTTTATAACATTAACAGAAAACGTATGGGGTGTTTCAATGTGGATTTTGGTAGCATACTGTTGCTATAAAATGAAATATTTTTTAACTGTGTAAAAATATTGGAAACTAACTACTTCTATTGAAATAAACACATGATTCCTTTAAACCTTAAACATAAATATTCATTTATTTGCATAATAGTTATTGTAAATAAATGAAATAAAAAAAATGACTAAAATGATGACAAACTAATAACGGGTTGCTTTTTTAAATAAATTCAATAGATCTTCCCTTATTCTTATAAATATTATACACTCTCTTAAACCATGATTCAAAAGGCATTTCTTTTAATGTTTAAAGTATATATATATATAGCTTTTTACAAACCTGCCATCACTAATTAAGCACACCATAGTCCCCTTGTCATCCACCCTCAACGGCAAAGTCCTTCAGAACTACATCATAACTCTTCGGCATCCATTTTTCTTTTGGAAACCATAAACTTGATCGTCATAGAAACATATGGTAGAACATAATTTTGATAGAACACGATCTTCCCATTTAATTATACTTACTTACTTCGTTGGTGTTGCCTTTCCCTGTCCTAGGCTTAATGTTAATGTTAATGCATTTATTTGGAATGTTCTCGACCTACTGAAAAGCTGAAAAAAATTTTTTTGCTCTGCAAAAGTATAAGTACGTATGTTGATTTTGATACATAAATAATAGTCAAAATAACAACAACAGCAATGAAATTGTGCCCCCTTAAGGGTGAGCTTAAGACCCCTGCCGGTGCCCAGTCTTCAAAGGATAAATTTATTTATCTTAGGGATAAATAAATAAAATATTTTTCATTTAATCAGATGTATTTTCAATAAGAACACAAAATAAATATCCAGTACAAGATAAAATAAAACAAGAACGATTTTATAAACAGTACCTGGGTATATATTATAATAATGAGATAAAGGGGATGGTGTGGGAGTCCTTACAGTCACATAGGAGGGGGTTTGAGGGAGGAATAACAAATTATGATTCAAGACAAAGTCGATGCAATCACAGATAAATTGCCGAAAACAAAAAAATTATGTACTTAATAATCAACTGCTGTCGTGAATAACTAGCGATATTACTTAATAATTTCAAATTACACACTTGATATGAATCGCATATAACACATTTGTTTTAGGATGTAATATAAATTCAATGACCTCAAAACATTTAACTTACTCTAATGGTACTGGATGAGGCACAAAATACAAAACAAACAACAGCCCCGTTTTAATATTAAGTTTTTTTTTTGTTGTTGTTACACATTTTTACAAGTTTTTCATATACATTTGTAGGTATGTATAGTAGTAATCATGTAATAAACATCGAAACTTCAAGCGATTGTAATGTTATGTAATTGTAATTGTTATCAAATTCAACGTTGAGATGAAGAAAAAAATAATGGATTAATTAATGAAAAACTATTTCCTTTTGTATTAAATCAAACGAAGCTGATGTCTGTTAGACGTGCCAAAGGTAAATATTAAAACTGTCACGATGTCACGCGACAAAGTGATAGTACTAAAATATTAAAAGTCTAACATCCCAATACTTCAGTGCAATATTTTTAAGTTAGGAAGTATGAAGGCATATAGATAGTTTTTTTTTTTTAATATTTATACTAGTTTAAAAATTGTTATTTCATTAAGAGATGTGGACGTTTTGCATCCATAAGTGGGACAGATTTTATATGCAATACGTCGACATAATAAGTAGTATGTAAAAGCTAGAAAAACAAAATGATAATTCAGACTATCACAAATAATCAGCTTCAAAACTGTATATCTCAATAAAAAAAGAATTTTGTCCATCGTGGCAACTTTATCAAAATAAGTCAATTTTAGAGTACGCATTTTTATTTTTTGTTTTAATTTTTCAACTTTATACAAAAAAGCCAACAAACCGAATCTCTTTTTTTTTACCTCAAGGCACTTCAATGTGAAGTTACCAAGTTGACTAGATTTAGTTTAGAAAACAAATAGACACCACGATGGATCCAAATGGAGAACAGAGTTTCAGTGCAACTGTTTTTGATAACTACATGTAAGTATATAACAAATATATTTAAGGTTTTTCTTGTGAACTAATCACTTAACATCATACGTGACCTTAATGCAGTAAGTATCATTTATTGCTTAGTCAGACCTTGTTCTGCCTCACTAAAATCGAATAAATGAATTATTTATACTTAATAATTTCGACAACCACCGACTATCCTAAGCAAAGAAGTGGAAGGGAGAAATTAGTAAATAACAGGAAAAAAAAGACAGAAGAAAAATTAAACAAAAGTTTTAATTGGGAAGCCTTCTGAGGTAGAAATAATAAATGACTAGTATAATTTCTTGCTTTGTCTTGCGAAATTGAAGAAGTGATTAGCACAACTGATATTTAAATATATTTCAGAATCCAACTACTCAGAAATATCTAACGAAAAGGAGATAATTATTATTTACTAGAGAGTAAGTTCGAAAATATATTGAAGCATTAATTCAAATATTCTTTCTTTTTTGGCAAATATGTCTGTATGGTATAAGTACAGGTCTGTACCAAAACATGTTTTGGTGCATTTTTATCCCAATTAAAGCTGTTTAGCAAAATTAATTAATCAATAAAAAATATATTATAGGTACATAGGTTGTGATGTAAATTTTTAATAACTAAATTAATATTGACTACCCACTATTCTGCAAAAATTGAATTAAAAACTGCATCATTTCTTAATACTTAATAGAATTATTCCTTCTTATCACCCTCAAATTTAAGTACTAACTTATTACCAATTGTTAATAGTTGCACTATAATTTTCATCGGTTAATTTAATTGATAAATGTTTAGATGATGGGACCTTCGGTCGTAGAAGGTGGGAGATGACCTTGTAGAACACTTAACCGGTTTTTATATGTTTAAGTGGAGACGTGGGGGCGCAGGGAGTGGAGATGGACATTGGAAATAGTAATTAGATGGACCGTAGGTCGAAGGGGAAGACCGTCCCTAATTAGAAACACATTTTTAGTGTCGCAAATTAAACTGTACACCCTTCTTCCATTATTTCCTTCCCTTATCTGCAATTACCATTT